ATGATTTATTTACCAAAAATAGATCCAAAGTTTTCCTTCAAAAAAAAATAACATTTCTCAACCCTATTTTTCTTGGATAATTGGAAGATTCATCATTGTGTTATTTCAGATAAAATAGATATCGTCACAATGCTACTGTGGCATGACACTCATAATATTTTCCACCTCAAATCTAAATCAGATTGTAGTTTATATTTGTATCAATGAATCTACCAAGTATTCTATGTATCAAAGTTGAACTAGTAGTTTGTATTTGTGTTAGATGAATCTGCAAAACATTTTTGGGTGTCGGAGTCAAACTAGTAATGGTATAGTAAGGAGTTAAAGTTAGAAAGGATCATCAATAACCATGTATAGGGTTGAAGCGCACATGAAATGCCACCAACTTGAAGATGATATTTGCTGCAATTTGTCGTCTTTGGTAAGAGTACAAATAATTTATATGGATATAGCACCTATAAGATGGCAGTGATACTAGTAAGATGTATCGATTTCAAGCAGGCACAAAACTAGTTATTGGTTCATCAGAAGAAGAAGAAGAAGATAGATGTGTGTCACTCTCATTCTATGAAATGCTGGAGATGAGAGCAAACAGAAGATACACTGAATGCTTTTTTTCATGAGCAAATACAAACCATGGAAGAACATCAGTTGATACAGTCAGTGCAAGAGCAGAATCAAAGCCTTAGTTCCCTCAACTACAATGGCAATGGCAACTTGAAGGAGAGAGAAGAGGATGGTAAGTGTTCCTGTCCTATTAATGTAATCTGCACTCAGGGAGTTACCTGTGGCACGGTCGGTCAGTTTGGCTTCCGATTTGGCACGCTTCTGTCCCACTCTTCGTGCCACCACCCACTTTTATGCTAATTTTTCTTGAGCTTGCAATCTGATTCTTCTTGCCTTGACCTATGAGCAATGAAGAAGAATGGCCCTTCTTTGATCTCGTATTGGTTGGTCTCATACATTGGATTTGAATGGCATTGATACTGCCAAAATATATCAAATTCAAGAAGATTTTTTTTTTCTTGTTTTTAAGGTTGAGAGCAAAAAGAAGATACATATGGAATGCATTTCTCTTAAGAAATAGAAATTATGATGAACATCAGTTGATACAGTCAGTGCAAGAGTAGAAGTAATGCAGTAACACCTAAAGCACCGGCTCCTACAATACATCCGATGGCCCTCAATTGCAAAGAGAAGGCAACTTGAAGGAGAAAATTGAGGATGGCAAGTGCCCTGTCCTCCTAATGTAATCTGCTCTTTCAGAAGTCATTGCGGCACGCTCATTCAGTTTGACCTCCGCACTGGCACGCTTCTCCTCAGCCATTCTTCGTGCTGCCGCCAACTTGTTTGCATATTTTTCTTGAGCTCGTGATTTGATTCTTTCTGCCTTAACCTGCAAGCAATGAAAATTATCCAGAATTATCTCGTAGAGAATAAAAGAAAATGCGCAAGTTACCGTATCATGCCAAGCATGTGTTTTAGTTTAATTACTGTCCAAGAATTATATTTATAGAGGTATCAAGACAGATGCCTCATGTCTCCAACTCTGACAATTTGAAGTAACCTCAACTATAACCATAAGGTTTTCTAAAACAAAAACTTCCATGAGGAAAATAAAAAAGAAGGGGAGAAAATATGCTTGTTTTATACCTCCATTCTCCTCATCACCATTTCAGCTTTTCTTTTCTCATGATTTTCCCATGCTTGTATCTTCACCTCTTCACGCTTATATCTGAAGATACATAACACAAAATCATTTCAACAAGTAGAAATAATGAGATGCTAATAGCAGATGCATTGTCGCAGACAAAGCAGCAGAATCACTATTTTTTCTAGTATAACAATGTACAATATGCATCTGAGCACTAGAAGAGAAAGGACTCTCAACATGTAGAAGAGAAATAGTTTTTCTTGTTTTGCAAAAAAATTAGCTTTTTACGGATCTCAATAGCGGTAAAAGATTCATGCGGCCAACCTCAAATAGTTGGACTTACTGTTTTGGGACTCTCAACAATTAGAAGAGAAATATTTGGGCATGTTCTGCAAAATACTTAGCTTCTTACGTATCTCAACAACGGCAAAAGATCCATGCCATTGACCTAAAATAATTATGACTTACAACTTTATTGTGCAAAATATTTCCTAAATAACATGCAAGAAATAGTTCGCATTCATGCTTTGCGAATGTAACGCATCCACCAGCTTCATTAGAGATCACACAAAATTTGGAGGATGAGAATTGCAGTTCACTTTTGGGTTGCGTCGATGTCCGATTGCCCTGTTTTCCTTCTTCTTCGATGCAAGAATTCTCACAATATTTCTCTAAGCCTAAATCAACAACTATTTAGATTTATCCAAAGAACAATCAATTATGATTTCACAGTAGAAGCTCAAATGTAGTATGCATCAAACTCCTTACAAAAGCAGGAGAATGCTTCATGTTTCATTGCAATGCCACAGAGCAGGATCAAAGCAAACGAGGAAGAACACGAGCAGCAGCAAACCAGTCACAGTTACCTGGCCATGTACTTTGCGCGTTCTGCCTCATCCCATGCCATGGCTCGGGACTCCAGCGAGCTCGAACTCCTACCTTGCTCTGAGCCATTGATCTCAGAGAACTTGCCACCGTCGACCTCTGCTTCCCCTCCATAAGGCCAGCCAATCCTCTCCGCACTCCTCATCCCTGCTTGATAGCCGTCGTGCCGCCGGCATCTTTCCGGGGTGGACGACCTTGAAGAGATCGGACTCTTCGACACCGGAGTCGTCGCTCGCAGTGGCGTGCCGGTCCTCGATGGCTCTTTGCTCGCTATGGGCGTCATCTCCGTGCCTGCGTCCCTCAGACACACCGATCTGACCACCATGGACGAGTCCTCGATCGGCTTGTTCGTCCGCCAGAGCGCCTCACTGCAGTCTATCTTCTTCGTTTCCCCTTCGTCTTCCTGAGCAGTGACCGCGAGCACTATGTCGTACTCCAAGGTTCCGTCAGCGCTGCTGCAGGAGTCCCTTCCTCGCTGGGACAAGGACGAGAGCAGCCTTCTGTCGTCGGCGTTCGAGTTCCTCGGCTTGCTCACCGCATGTTTGTGATCTCCGCTGCCTGACAGCCCCACCAGCCACTTCTGGGCATCGTCCCACTTCGAAGGGGTCGGCTTGCTGCGCGACCCCAACACCTTCCGGCGGTGAAGAGCATTGTTGGCGACGGCGCCATCGTGGAACTCAAAGCTGTATGCGTTGGCGCAGGGCTTATCCATAGGCCTCATTGTCTCAGAAACCAGTGCGATGGACGGCACATCGAACACTATCCGATCCCTTCAACCAAATCTTCACATCAAGGAACGGAAACCATGGTAGCTCAGATCCGCTCACAAGTAAGCTAAGAGAACGAGCTCATTCTACTTGTACCCGCAACTGCAGCTCAAAATCGAGTGCAGCTTAGCATACCACATCCCAAGTCACAGCCACAGAGCAAGATCTAAAGATCTGTTCGAGCCGGAGATGACAAAGGAGGCTGCTTGGGAAGGAGGCATGGGTGTGAGTTCCGGGAAACGGGCCAAGGGAATGGAAGTGAAGAGATAGATCCAGTGGAGGAGTGGAAAGAAGGAATGATACCACCTTGGAAATGGCAACCTTTCTCACAGTAGGAAAGCAGGTGACGGAGGAGGCTCTCAAGGGAGGAGGAAGAATCTCTCTGAAACCTGCTGCTGCAGCAACGTGAGACTGAGCAAAATATTATAGCAGCCAACTGTACTGTCTCCATGGCTCTTGTCCCCATTCTCCATTGGCATCCACCATGCCGAGAACTACAGCTTGGAAAACAGTGTTGTAAGCCAAGATTTCAATCAATATCATATTTTTCTTCACGATATTACGCAGATAACACCAAGTAATCATACAAAGAATATACCTACTACAGCATCAGCTTCTCATATCGTATCTCAACTAAGAACGATCATAAGCTGCAAAATCAACATTCATTCATTCATTGCCATCGAACTCCATGATCGAGGAGGACATGTTTGGTGAAACATCAGATGCTTGCATAACGTGCACACTGACTCTGCAAGCTGGCAATTCTTCTCCTCCTTCCATCCCTGTGGATAGCTTTTACTAGAACTAAGATGGAAGAAATAGGCCATCTGACAGAAAGGTCCCAAGCAGCAGTGGTGAGTGCAGTGGATCCAGTGGTTTTAGAATCGGCAGAAAATTACATGCATACCCCTCCATCATCAACATTTTGGTACTTGTATCCCTTAAATAGTAACACAACAACAACAAGCCATAACATTACAAATATTGTCCAACTTCATAAAAAGACAATATTCTTAATTAATTTTTTTATTATAGTTTCAATATTTTTTTTTAGATTTCTCCTACTATTGGTAATACCAATTATCTCGCTTCTTTTAATTAAAGTTTTTAATAATATATTTTAAATTATATTACGATCAAGATTCATCGTAATGTATTACGACGTATCACTCGGTACGAAAGTACATACCAATCTAATAGAAGATCGATACGAACGATACACTCCTATATATCATGTGTCAGTATACTTAGTATAGCTCGCTAATTGTCTTCTTCGCCAACATCTTGAGATCACACGACCAAAAGACGAAGAATGGATTTGACCGTCCACGTCGTGTGCTTTAAGCTTCGTGAGCGATGCGGCAGCTGATCATTGGTCGAGATACGATAAGGCACGATTCTCAAAGGCGTCGATTGATGCGAAGCAACCGAGCCGTCTCTGTCTAACCCCCAGTAACGGCAACAATGGACGACCCGTCTCATACGTCCACGTGTTCAGTTCTTTCGTTCCTACGTCTAGAGTTCCACATCCGAAGAGAAGAACTTGGCACCATCTCATTGGCGAGAACGACCCTCCTCCCACCCCGCTACGGCCCCACCCCGACCTTCACGCGCTCTTTGCCTCTGGACGCGCCACCTGTAGCCTGGCTCCAATGGGAGCGCGAGATGCCTCGTGGACACGTGTCGGCCGCCCTCGCGCTATTTAGTCTCCTCGTTGATCGCTACTGGAAGTAAATAAGAGGGAAATAAATAAAATAGTAGGGAGGAGTAGATCGAGAGGAGAGGCGGTTGCTGTGTTACGATGTACGGCGGAGGCGGAGACGCCGACGTCGCGCGGAAGGTGGGCCGGGCAATGATCCGCTTCCGGCCTATAGCGCCCAAACCTGCCGCCGGGTCCCCTTTGGCCGTAGCTGCCGCAGCGGAGGCGGCCGCCGCGCCCAGGAGGCCGAAACGGAAGGGATCCGCTAATCCCGCCGCCGGCGCGAGTGGGAGGAAGCCGAGGAAGGCGGAGGCGAACCCGTCGCCGTCGTCGTCGACGATCGTGACGTTGTCGCTGATACCGGAGACGCCGGAGAGGAAAGGCGACCGGGAAGCGGCGCCGAAGCGGTCTCCTAGTTTCCCTTCTCCTCCTTCGGCCGTGGTGGTTCCGCGCGTGGTGCCGCCGGTTGGGGCGATAGGGTCGTGGGTGACGGTGGAGTGCGTGACGGAGACGGACGGGTGGAGGGAGGGGGAGGTCGCTTGGAGGAGTGACGAGGCGGTGGCGGCCGCGCTGGCGGCAGACGAGTGCCCCGGGTTCGTGTCCGACGAGTGGGACCGGGTGACGTGGATCAACGAGGCGTACCGGAGGATGGTGGTGGGTACGGCTCAGCGCTGCTCCTCCTTAGAGGGAGGCGGAGCTGCGGAGAAAGAAGAGGAGGTGAGGGTGGGGCTGGTTTCGCAGGGGCTGCTGCCGGCGGCGGGGAGGTGCCGGGCGTTCACGTGCTGGGTGCGCGTGTGGTACGCGAGGCGACTGAGGAGGACGAAAGGGCCTCCATCGCCGCCTCCGCCGTCGTCGCTGGCGGCGCCATGCGACGTGTGGAGGCTGGACGGCGGCGTTTGCGCGTGGAGGCTGGACGTGAAGGCGGCCCTAAGTCTCAGCTAGTAGCGGCAGCGGAGGAAGAGATGATACGTAAATAGGTTGGCTTTCGGGGCATGTTTTTTATTTCTGCAACAATCGCACGTCGACTTGTTCATCTTCCGCAACGTTTTCTCAAGCTTATTTAATCGCCGATTTTTTTCTACTGTGTTGATTTGTTGCTCAACGAAAACAGTCGGATAGAATCGAACCTCCGACATCGACCACATTTGATCATAGGTGTTTCAGTCCTTTTTTTTTACGAAAAGAAAAAGAATAAAATGTATTTTAAGCGAGCTGACTCCTCGCTCTAATCATCATTTTATATTATCATATCACTCTTGTTTTTATTGTCAGTGTTTTTCTTTATCACACGCACTCTTTATCTCTCTAATTATTTATTTTCTCTTTCATCCTTTTTAATCATTTTTTTCTCACCATTAATCTTTCACCACATGTTAAATATTGCTGGCCTATTTTTCCAAATTTTATATTTTAATCATCAGGTTTCCCAATTTCATTCTATAACAAAAATAACATTTAGAAACTGCATCTTTATTATAATATTTAAACACCTGTCCACCTACCCGACCAGTATAAAATTTGGAATGGATTCACATAAAAAAAGTAGGTGTTGTTGGTCTTTCTCCCACTAAGAACAATAGTTTCCTACTGTGCTTATGGGAAAGTTTGAACAAAAAACTATCATTTACAAATTGAATGCTACTTCGAGAAGTTCTTTGAAAGAGAAAAAAAAATGCTAACGAGGATATCAATCACAATTCAGAGGAAAAAACAGTGTATTCGGTCAATCACAACTCACCCATGCTGTATAATAACTGCTACTACAGGTAAATAAACCACGACAGTCGAGCCCTGAACTATTTATAGCTGTTGACTACAGGAAAATTACCTAACGTGGGTCTTCAACTCGCCTACAACAAAAGCTAAGAATCATAATGTGCATGCTTTCCAACACAAATTACTTCTATGATTAAAACGAACCTGAAAATCTTAATTGCAGCACCAGCAAGGCCGAGAAGGACCAAGAAATCATCATCAAGAACGTAAAAATCAGCTGATGAAGCGTACATGCAGTTGCAAGCCTCTGCAAGCAATCGAGATATGTCCGATGATTATGCGAGATAAAGCCATTTTGTATGGCAAGATAATCAATCGCATGAATGAATAGAATATGAACAGCCAAAAAAGGGATACAATCTAAATATATACTTGCAGGATGCAGGTTGTTATGAAGGAAGACTTCCATTAAAGAGAACTATTTGGCCTGCCAGAGTTTGCTGAGTGGCTTGCCCTTTTGGCATGTCAATATACAACCCAACGCAATCTCTCTTATCTGTTCCTCCAGTGTTTCCACAGGGAGGCCACCATCAACAATCTGCAGCTTGAGCATGTCAGTGCCATCAGGATATTGTAGCAAATGTAAGATACAGAATAGATGATGACAAAATTATATTGCAAGAACAGTCTGTTTAGAGAAAAAGTATAAAAAATTATTAATTGCAAGAAATGAAATTTGAAGCAGTCAGTGAATAAATATTTGCTCACTGGGACAAAGTCAACTGTCATGTTCTCTAAATCTGTTGTATTTATACTGAACTTTTTTTCACTCAAGAAATCTATGTAAAGAATGCTCGACCCCGATGATATTGACTTGATTTTACTAGACATAGACGAGACCAAAAGAAAAAACATTCTAGAACAACTGGATTGCTGAAACTAAACAAAATTCTTATAATGGGCATGAACCTAGTCTGGGTGCTAGAAAAAGAACATATCATCTGAACAATGTGTATATTCTGAAAATGGGCAATTATGGTAGATCAACAATGGCTATAACTAAAATATCAGAAGTATTAAAGGGCTATTATTAACACAACATTATGAAACAGGTAAATCTAACACCAGAACCAGTGTATTAAAAAGAATGCAACAGTAGAATCAAATAACTACATTTAGTACAGAAACTTCTGAAATGAATGCTACCTTCCAAGAAGCATCATAAAGGGTCCGATAATGCTCTGCAACTTTCTTTTGGAATTCCAGCTGCTCATACCTTTCAGTGCCATAGCCTCCTCTTTCTGCCGCTTTCTGAATAGGATTCAAATTACAGATTTCAGAATGATGAACATTAAATGCTGAGCAATAATAAAGGAAAAAGCACATGTTGTCCTCATGATCGAGCTTGATAACTGCAAGCACTTATATTTTCCCGTGTAATGCATATTTAAAACAAAAGCATAGATAAGCTAATAATTCAACCTGAATAGCATAATAGATAAGATCCTGTAGCAAGCACTATGATGACTAGTTGGCATAACAAAAGAACCACCACAATCTCGCAACACTGTCCTAGGTAATAACCCCTGATAAGCCTAAATGAGGCTCTCAGGCAAATAGGCATACACAGTGCACAAGTAAAACATATTAAATTTTCAATGAGAACAAGAAAAACATTATCTTTTGTCAAGTAGCAAAGGCTTTCAAAGTGACTTGTCTAAATTTGACTTCTCAAAAAGCAAAGGTGTTCATCTTAATTAGCTAACTCTCAACTACCTCCATTTGACTTGTTCATATATACTACACTAACTTTTAAAGGATGCAACTCGGTCTGATTGCTCATTATAATCTTCTCAGCGCTCTCATGGAGCCTTCTTCAGCGTGTGTACTCTATAATGAACACGTATTCATTTGGCAAAACCTTAATGAGGATTTGAATTATTTGCATTGTTCCAATAACATGATTCAATTTAGATTGATTTCCCATTAGGTGTTCATCACAGGATTAAGCATCACAACAAGAAACTGTCCATGAAATTCTCAAAATATGGTATTTTGCAACTATGACAAATGACCATTAATACTCCTTGATTATTGTAAAAAAAAAATGAAATACAAAAAATATATAAGCTACCTCTGCAGATATATCAAGATATATAACCAGATCTGGAGCTATCAGTCCCACTTCTGGAGCCTACATAGATAGAATACAATATTGTAATGTAAGCTGGTTCAATGTTTGGATATACAGATCCTTGGTTTCATGGAAACTTACCTTACACCACTCTACATCTAGCCCCTTTGCGGCAGAAAATGCTACTCCAGAATATGAATAGCGATCAATAATAAGAGAGGTTCCACTCATTACCTTGCTCTCCATTAGTGATCTGCAAATAAGGAATCAACCATAGATGCATTTAAGCAAATGTATAACTGTCTTCAAGCATGAAAATTGAAGGCAGATATTAAAATGACAGAAGCAATACATTTATATTCATCATGGCTATATATTCCTGAAGCATCTAAATAGCAACTATATAAACAGTTCCAGATACTGCAGCTAAATGATTATATATTTGACAGAAATGGTTCACAAATTGTATCTTATGAACTTATTAAACATGCACGTCAGCTTCAAAAAGAAGATACAATAGTTAGAAAACAGAATAAGAAATAGAGTAAGGTAATTATAGTTCACATCATAAATGGACCAGTATAACACAAGGCCGACTTATCTGCAGAAGATAGCTTTAACTCAACAATTAATTTTCAAGATTCCATGCCATGTAATGAATTTGCTGATGGACATGTCAAGACCATGGTGAATTTTTCAGTAACAAAATTACTCCTCCCATTCAGATCCTAGGATGTATGCCATGCCAAACATATCTAATCACTGAATAGTTGCCACATCAATTTGTCAACAATGGATCACAAAAGCTATGGATAAACTGAAATTCTGCAGAAACATAGATTTGCATCAAACTAGTTCAATAAGGAACCTTCATATCTACAATAAGGGTCACAACAAAAGTGGAGGTGATACATACCATAATAAACTGTAAGTACTCGGCAAATCAGGCATATGTTACCTTTTCTCCCAGCGATTTGCACTAAAAAGCAAATGTATTGCTCTATCATCTAATTGTGATTCATTTGCAAGATATGCAGATATCATTTGGCCGGTAGAAGTGCTTCTGTCAGGGAACCGCCATAATTCAACTGATAATCCTTTTTCCTTTAAGAATGTGACCAGTCTATTAGATTGTGAAGTCTTCCCACTGCGGTCTAGTCCTTCTAGAACAATAAGGGAACCTCGTGAATTATCATTGTGGGCAGTGTTCATCTGCATTTGCCTGAATGAGCTCCTGATTTGGCTACAGGGACAAATCTTTGGATGCCTTAGAGGACCCACTCTTCCAAAGTTCCTGCAAGTCAAAACAAATTGTCAAAAATTATGGAAACTTCATGCCTTCATTAAATTCTGAGATTATTACTCCAGATACCATGTCATGCTGGCAACACGTGCTCCAAAAAACCTTTGTGCCATAAATATTTAAAAATCAGATTTGTGTGACAATCAAATAAAGATTATAACTTTTTGGATAAACATATTATTGGTCCAAAAGATTCATAAAAAAGAAAACCTATAATTATAATACCTGGTCGGGTTAACATAAACCGTTATGTATGATTTTTCTCGTGAAAGAGAACTAAAGACGTTGATAACATGACAGGCCTTCAGATCTCACTGAATCTAATGGTGTTGTAAGGAGTAAAAGAAACAACAATATTGTGTATTTAACTTTCTTTGGACATGATTAAGCCTCAAATCAGTAAAACAGATTGCCATTTTAGTATCACCAAATAAGAAGTTTGTGATGCCTCATAACAATTCATACAAGCAAAGAATGAAATTAAGAAGTGTCAACAAAGTTCACAAACCTCACATAATCACAGTTCTGCATAATTTTATTTCCTATATAAGCCAAGGTTAACTAAAAGTGTTTGAAATTTAACTTCTTAGACCTCAATGCTGTTAGAATACTTATAACATAAAATGGCACAGCTGCAGGACCAACTTTGGGATTTTGAATGCCCAAAAAGAAAGGAGCATTGTGCACTTAGAACAGGGCCACTACAATCTCCCTGTTCGCCACATACTCATAAAATAAACACAGGCTCAGTTCCAAAAGAAGGTTCATACAATTCAGGTGCAACAGCAGAACTACATTCATCAGATATAAAATCATATTAATTGAAAACATACAATTTATCTTTCACTTATATATATTTTTCATGTATACTCAGGCCCAATGAATTTGGATCTGCTTTGGTGTTAAGAACAATTATTAATCCACATCTAGCAACTTCCATAATAGTTAGAAGAATCATAACTATATCTCAAGATGCACAGTGACATACATGGTGCGTGCATGCCAACAAACTTGCATGTTGCTTTCTTGAGAGCGGACCTTAAACATCATTTGCAACTGCAAAAACTAGACATGTGCATCTCTGCTCCTAGTCACAACTTTTGCAACTGGAGAAAATCTCAGCTTAATACAAGAACATCAAGCATAGAAAATAGAATGATGCAGTATGTCATCTGAAGAACAAAAGCTAGTTGACCAAGAAAAACCTGTCATCACAGAAAGAAGAGTTGCCTTTTGATGAGCATAAAAAGCCATCACCGATCTATATCATAATTTATTTTAACCAAGTTGTAGTCGACTTACGTGCTTGCAAGTGACCCTGTGACAGCACACGCTTTTTCTGGTACCATATGTAAAACACTAATGTACCAATTTTCACATTACTAGTGAGCTACCAAAATTTCCAGCAAGAAACTTGTATATATTTTGAATCTAATGGCTATATCTCAAAATCAGCGTGTTCATTGCCAGGGAACATGGGCAAGCTGATAATCATCTAGCAGCGTGTATTCAAGCACCCAATTCATCATGTACCAATAATACGACATAAGTCATTGCCACTCCAGTCACCTGGATATAACATTAACAGCTATATGCGAGCATCAGTCTTGGCACATGCCTGTGCTCAGTGCTAATATGCTACCACAATATCAAGACACAACCAGAATAGTCAGTCCGCTATGACATACATAAACATGAATGCAAATAGTTATCAATATCAGGATTCAGTCAGAATGAAGTAGCATGGTTTTAGGCATAATGGAGAGCAATGAAAACAAGCTAGTTGCATGAATGCCAAGAAGCAAAAAAGAAAAAGGAAGTCATATGTAATAACTAATAACCAATTCACTAGCATGAGGTGTTGTCAAACTCAGTTTTCCTACCTAGGATTGAAAAGGGTTGCGAACTTAGATTGTAAGATGCACATAAATAAATAAATTTATATACAATTCTTTTGTTGATATTAGCAACTCCCATATATTCTTCAGTTAATAATTGCATTTTTATTAAAGTTAATGCAGAATCTCTTATTTGTAAGAATGAATACTAATTTCATTGCTTTGTGTGCTCTTCTTTCAGGTTTACACCAGTTCAATTGGTCTCTCCACTCAAGTAGCTCGATTCAGGAATGATACTCATTTAAGGCAAACAGTGGTCATTCACATCAATGATGATATTTTATTGTCATAATTAAATATATTTTAACCTCGATCAAATGCATGTTTTTTAGTTTCTGATCCATGACAGATAAAAGGCATACAATAACCCTTTTCACAATAAGAGGTGTTATAAGCTATGCACATGGATAAACCTCGGAGGCAAATATAGAACTACACATTAGAGATTATATGAAATGACTCGCCTAAACCAATTATATGCACTAGTACATGAACAAGTGTGCAAACATAATAAGAAAAGGAACACTTAGTATGCATTTGAGTTACTTCACTTAGATAAGTCCAGCTCTTGACAGGATATTAACAGAATATTTGAAGTTGTTGAATTAAAACACAATGGAATTGAATGAACCAACTCAGACAACTGAAGGACACAGGAAGGAAGTACTTCTCTAAGTAAGTCAAAACACTAACACCATCCAAGAATCAACACGAAGGCTGAATGGTACCGCAAGATCTGAACATGTGAATGCAAACAATTGGCGATTTCATCGTATATATCATCAGAGAGGAGAAGATAAGACATAACGAGAGAGAGGAGGAGACGGGACAGTGAAGGCGAAAAGCGGAGAGAAGAGAAGCAGAGAGGGTAGGAGACCTTATGATGATACAGACGTAGAAGAGACAAGAGGAAACGGAAGGAGAAGATAGGGGCGGAGAGGGACGGAGAGAACAGTACCAGCGAGAGGAGGCGGCTTGGCTCGGCCGGTGACGTCGTCAGTGGCAGAAGCGGAAACCCTAGGGCTCGCTCGTCGTCTGACTTCCCGCGCAGACCGCCTCGGCTTTTTTTGTCGCTTTTGTCTTTTATATGAGCCCAATGGGTCGACTCGGTGAACTCGGAGAAGTTGGAATCGGACCTAAACGCCGCGCGGCAACTCTCGAGAGCAGACCTAGCGATCCAACTAAATTATAGATTGCATATAGTTTGTTATCTTTAACATTTCGATTCTTATATTTAAAAAATATATATTCATTTTTTTATAATTATAAAAATAAAATATTTATATATATTTATCGTAATAATATTAATTTTATTGATAAAAATATAAAAATAAAAGATAAAAAAGATAATCTCGACATCGGTAGTAACAAACGACGGTGTCACTAGCATCGATATTGATACAATTGTCTAACTGCCTCCGACACCACCTGCCTCCACGAGGAATATATCGTCGACCACATCGTCGCTCTGCATCTGCATCAACGTTGATGCAGATGCAATTACCACTCACAAATTATGTTGGCGTTGACGTAGATGGTGGCTACTCCCCATCCCCTCGCTCCTCTACCACCCCATTCTCCTACGAGCAACGTCCTAAAATCCCCAAATCCCTCTCCCACCCCACCATAGTCGAGGACACTTCTACCCACCCCCTCCCTCCCGTGGTCCGCCCCCACCCACTCGAAACTCTTCACCATGTGCAAGAAGTGCTTTGCCTCCTCCCTCGACTCGTTCGTAGTTGTGCTCGCCCTATGCTCCAATGGCCTCTCGCACGACAGCAACAACATGGATGAGCTCTGGTTAGTGCTCAACGTCATGCCATAGAGGGCAACGTCTATCACTGATCGATTCTAGCTCTTCGACTTGTACGACTCATGTAAGGCAGCGTGCTTCGTCGTGGACGCCATGGTCTGCCTCCCTTGGATCGAGTTGTTGGGTTTCCTTAACTATCGACCTGGCTCAAACAACATATGACCAATTTGTGTTGGCATCGACATAGTTGGCGAGCAGCCTCACTTTGCATTTACATTGATGCCGATGCAAATGTAGAGCAATAAAAGGGTCGCTAGGCAAGTGAGGGGAGCGATGGGAGCTCTGGCGACCCTAGCTTTGGGTCGAGGTTGGGATCCGTCCAACAAATTAGCAGTGAGGCGGCCACCATCTTTACCATAGATATCTTGAAAGGTCCATCTTTAGATATGTATAGCAATCACAATCTTGACTGTCTTGTCAAATCATAATTATTGGTTGCTCTAGTCATTATATTAAAAGAGAATAATTATTTAGATAAAAGAATATTTTTTCTTTGATGAAATTAAATATTTGAATATTTTTTTTGAAAAAAACATTTATTTTTATACTATTATTTTGGATGTTAAAATACTGAATGTAATGAATACATATTCAAATAATACATTATCTACATCATCATTAGTTTGATACCTAGTATAAAAATAATAACGTGGTAAATATCTCGATGCTATATAATTGATACCTCAACGTTACATCATCATTAATGATTGACACTGTTATCATAAAGTGATCGACACTTCAGTACTAAATAGTCGATACCTTAACAATAGGTAGTCGATAGTCATGTGATCGATATTTCGGTGTCACATCTACGTCACTTTTATTGTATGTGGCTGACGTGAGGATGCTCCTTAAATATTAGTGACTAGTACCATGTGGTAAGCAAATAAGCATTTTATAATTGACATCTCGATATTTAGGTGATTGATATTTTAACATCATATCCATAGCACTTTCATCATCCGCAGCTAACATAACAATGCTCTTAAGACATTATCAACTATATCGTGTCTATAACATAACAATGCTCTTAAGAGAGTACACCCGCAGACTGCTCGACAATTACGTGAGGCTTGTCTAAATAAACTCGACAAACGGATGTGGTCGATTAAGACATCAGATCTTTCGCGCATCTTGACGTAAAGGAAGCACCCGAAACCGGCCGACCGCCTCACGGTTCGAGTCGAACCCCACCCAAACCCATTCCAAAACCCGCAACTCGTCTCCTTCGCCTTCGGGGATTCCAAGAATTCCGACGCGACCTCGCCTTTTTAGTTCATTCCTACTCCATTTCTCTGGCAACCATCCGTCCCTACGGATCCGGTCTCTCTTTTCGCCTTCTGGCGCTCTCCAGATCTGTGATGGCGGCGTCTTCCATTGTTTTCACTGGCCTTTCTTTGATCCCCGTCAGATCCGGTCCTCTCCGGAGGTCCGCGAACCTCCACAGCTTCCTTCCGATGTCCAGGCATGGATTCGTCGCCATGTCGCTGTCCCTCAACTCCAACTCCAGACCTGATAGAACTGTCGCCTTCTCTGGTAACCGTTTCCTTCTCTTGACCCGATTAGGAGAACCAAAAAGGTGTATAACTCTAGAGATGTGATTTAGATCATGTCCATCTGCAAAATGCTAAATAGATGATGGTGTCGTAAGGGTTTTCAAGAATAATCATCAATTTTAACAAGTCTCAATTTCGTTCTTCATTCGTTAAAGAACAATCTGACAAGTTATGAGTTACGACACTTGGCAATTAAAAGAATAGATCAAAGCGATGCTATCGTGGACTTAAAGAAAATTTGATTTTTTTGGCTCTAGTTCAAAAAAAAAAACTTCTTCTTTTAAATGCCTAATGCCATTCCATCAATTCCATATTCCGGTGCTTTTTGTTTTTGATCAACGGATTTGGAATCGAGTTCAGTATGATAATTTCTAATAGAAAAAAAATCTGTTTATAAGCAAATTCTGACAGCTGCTTTTTATTACTTATTCTTCTTAATGCTTCCATCGCAAGTAGCTAGTTTTAATGATGACCATGTTGATACCTTTGGTCCATCTATTAATGACATTTACAGGTGTAAGGACGTATGTTGCAGCTGTTGAACAGTCAATTACTACAGAGGCTCAAAAAGTGGAAGCACCTGTTGTCATTGTTACTGGAGCGTCTAGAGGTATAGGAAAAGCGATAGCTTTAACACTAGGCAAAGCTGGTTGCAAGGTCAGTTGATATAAGATGTGTGCCTACTGATAGAATTAACTATTAAGACCAGACATTCTATTTTCTACTGTAATAGACCAACTTCATGCAACCAAGCAAACTCGCTTTCTCATGTTAGCTTGTATCCGAGGTTATTGTCATAATTGTCTGTCATATACAAGGTTTCTACCAAGATCATAGGACTAGAATAGGGATTGGCCTAGGTGCTGTAGAGCAGGAATTAGGATGGGGCCAAAAATAAAAACTGAAATATTATTTTGATATATATCAGAATTTTGAAAATTTTTATGAGATATATCTACATCTTGACAACATGTTGAATGATCATTTCTTTTGCTGTACTGCGACTTCGAACCTAGAACTTACATTTCTGTTAAAAGACAATTGTCATGCTTTGTAAGGTACCAAAGAAATCGTTTCATGGGCTTTAAAAGTTCATTGAGTTATCTCTACTGTATTGTAAATGTCATGAATGTGTAATTCATATAACTATGCAAAAATTCATATTGTAGTTCTAATGCTGAACAGATTTTCTGAATTTCTATCGCATAATTCTCTATTTGATTCAGGTTCTCGTGAATTATGCACGATCATCAAAGGAAGCTGAAGAAGTCTCCAAAGAAGTAGGTCCATATTGCCTATCTTTTACAAATTTTATTTTCTATTCAATTCAGAGGAAAGTTCACTATGATTGTCTGGGGTTTCCCAATTTCTTCATCATTTGTCGCATTTGCTTCTTTGCGCCGAACAAACAAAATTTTCTTCTTAATAGCTTTTTTTTTTTTCTTCAGAAATCATTTTAACTCCTGTTAGTTTTGTTTCAGATCCATTCTATATATAAGTTATACAACCAGCAAAAACTTTTCAGGTTGGTATGTGATAAATGAAAATTAGGATCTGAATACTGGTGATTGGTATATACACCATGAATACTGGTGGTTGGTATATACAACCACGTACAACTATGTTATTATGTAGCCTGGGATACTACTGGGGAAAAATGTTCGATTGTTAGTCAGCATGTGGCATACAATGTATTGACATGTGGTCTGACTGGTGAGTGCATATTTCGTGTGTCATCAAAATTAATCTTTACACAGAAATATGACGATGATACACATTGATACATGACTCTTAAAGGGTTAGGGTACTGTTTCTAAAGTAACGAGCAGCATAAATTTTTTAACAATGCACTTAACAAATTTTTTTTAGCATTGTTTGCATATTCCTGATGTTTGATGTACTTTGCAGATAGATGCATACGGTGGTCAAGCCATTACTTTTGGTGGAGATGTTTCCAAAGAAGCTGATGTGGAATCTATGATAAAAACTGTTAGTCAAGAACATTGCATATATTCAACAAATCTATAAACCTAATCTTTGGCTGATTTTATGGCATATGTGATTCTTCAGGCAGTTGATACATGGGGAACGGTTGACATTTTAGTCAACAATGCAGGTTCCTAGGATTTCACTACTTGATCTGTTTGCTTCTAATATTTTCTAATGGAGACCAAACATTAATGCTTCCAGGAATTACACGGGACACTCTGTTGATGAGAATGAAAAAATCACAATGGCAGGAAGTCATTGACCTGAATCTTACTGGTGTTTTCCTTTGCACACAGGTTTGTGTTCTTGTACCTTCTGGAATTGACTTTGCAAGTTTTGGATGGTGAATCTTTTAATTCTTCATTGGTGCAATAAATTCTCCTGCAGGCAGCAGCCAAAATTATGTTGAAGAAGAAAAAGGTACCGCCTAAGGATTTCTTTCGCATTGGTTTGTTAATAGATAGTGGTTGATTAATTTGTGATCCAGAAAAAAGTTATCTACATAATTTGTTGGGTTAACGTTAAAAAAATCTTTTTTGGCTCATGGCAAATCTTGGAAATCCAGAAAAGGAAACTTTGTTGATTTGTCTGTCGTGATGCTCTTTTTGGTGCTAATTAAAGTAAACTATACTTAACAGAAAGCTACTGCCTAATTTGTTTGAGATGCTTGAAAATTTCGATGTTCTAATTGTTATATGTTATAGATCATGTGTTCATAACCATAACTTTGTCATGGTTATTCATAATGGTGGGGCAGGGTTGAGAGGCAGGGATATGTTTGAAGTCAGTATCAAGAAATCAATATTCTTTTGAAATTCATGGAATTTTAGATTTTTAGGTGATATTTCTTCATTGAATAATTGACAAATTCATTTTATTTTATCAATATGAAATACTGTGTAGTACCATCGGAAAACCTTTTTTTGACTTGTTTGTCGTCTTTTGTTTCTCTATTATAAATTAAAATATGATAGCAAGAAAAGAAGGACAACTAGTGTTTGTCCAGTTGTTGTCATTGCAGTAAAGTAACTAAGATCATGTTCATGTGATCACATGAAAATATTCGTGATAATGGGTATATTAGAGCTGCATAAGGTCTTATATCATAGTTTGCTATTAGAGAGGGGATAACTTGAATTAGGATGCAGTTGTCCATTCAAGTACACATCAAATTTGATTGACTGAATCTTATCAAGAAATTATGGTTTAGGGTTAGTTATTAGCAAAGGGAATTTTAACAAGCTTTCATGGTTTACTTAAGTTTTCCCATTACTTTATTTCTATACTCTCTACTTAATATATTCAAGTAAAAGGTTTTAGTCTAACCACTGAATTTTGAACTAAGCTGATTTCATCTTGTTGGCTCTTAAACGCACTTTTCACATCTTTCCTGGCTATGGATTCCCTGACTTTTATTTTCTTAATAATTACTTAAAATCTTTTGTTTCTACTACTTTCTTCTTTTAGAAACTACTCCAGATAGGTATTGTATTCTTGAATTAGTCTGGACCTTGAGAGTGAGTGCCCAAATTATTCCACATATCTAGGAATTATTTCTGGAAACAAGATTCATAACGGTCTTTGCAACCTGAAGTTTTCCCAGTCACCTGTTATGCAAGCAGATACTATCAATAAGTTCGTGAGGCCAGTAATTTTGATCATTTGTGCTTTATTACCAAATACTATATGTCTATATCTCCATGATAGTAGATATAGTCAGTCCGGGAAAATGACTCATCGATATATGAAGTTCTCAGATTGTCGTATTCAGTTAATCAATTTGCTCCAACAGATTTTGCCTTTGTTTTTTTGTCCAAATCATTCTTCAAACTCGATGCAATTTTTGTTCAATATGCTTCTGACAGGGAAGGATCATCAACATAGCATCTGTTGTTGGACTAGTGGGGAACATTGGCCAAGCTAATTATAGTGCTGCAAAGGCAGGGGTGATTGGTTTTACTAAAACTGTTGCAAAAGAATATGCAAGCAGAAATATCAATGTCAGTTTATTCTCTTATGTAAACCTTGCAATTTAATTTTGTGAATTCCTTTTATATGACTGTTTGGTGATACTTCCTAGGTTAATGCTGTCGCTCCTGGGTTCATTGCATCTGATATGACTGCTAAACTAGGAGAAGACATCGAAAAGAAAATATTGCAGACCATTCCATTAGGTAAGATTGGAAATATAACTTCTTGGAATAACATACTGAGCAGATCTTCTATAGTGACTGTCAACAGCTGTAAACTTCACTATTGTCTGTGGACATGTATTTCTTCTTGCAACTCTCCACTTGGAAGAAATTTACCTGACTTGGCAAGACTACAAAGATAATCATTTTAGCCTTCCCATTTTCCCTTTCAGTTTGACGCTTCAGGCTACCTCTGTAAACCTAGAGGTCTTGGGTTGTTCTGGGCTGAGCTACTTATGATTAGATTATAAACTGCTTCCATTTTTCTCTAGAAACTTTGCAGAAAGTCATAATTTATGTATATAAGAAGAACGTTATTATTTAAAATGACTTTTCAGCGAGGTATGGCCAACCAGAAGAAGTTGCTGGCTTAGTGGAGTTCTTGGCCCTTAATCCTGCATCGAGTTACATTACCGGGCAGGTAAATGCCATTTTAGTTAATGAACAGATGCCTGTTGTATGATTCTCCAGAGATGATTTGGTTTATGCTTTTGACAGTTATGATAGTTAACAAAAATATTTGCGACCTTATTTTGTTTTATTTTATTGGCTTTCATCACTGATCTGCTTTTAGCCATTATTATTTTTGCAATTTTCTTGTCTGAGAATATTTACTCTGATACAACGCAGGTCTTTACCATTGATGGCGGGATGGTTATGTAAACATGGGATGAGTTTTTCCGTCTTGAAGAACCTCTAACCTTTATGTGGATTGCTATGTTCACTGGCATGTTAGAGTTTGGACAACTATGCAAACTTTCCTTTTTATCAGTTGTTTCCCTTTTTTCGTTTTGTTGAATGCTAAATTTTGAACTACTGCCTGGAAATAAGATTATAAAGAACTCAGTTATTTCAAAGCATTATAATTGATGTTCCTCTCTTCTCGTATGTTTGATATGATCATATCATGCTCACACAAATTTTCTTTATAGTTGAGCCTTGAGGCTCTTTCAGAAAGAGTTTTTTTAGATTGAATGCTTTATATTTCAATCATCTTCATCTTCTCCATAGCACTTGGCTTGATGCAATATCCCTCCATTGATTGTTTGTGCTATTTTATTAGCGTGACAATCTTATTGTCGAACATTGTCATCAACAAATTGAGTTCGAGTTAGTCTATAAGTGGGAAGAAATTGGAGATGGTTTATAAGTTGTTGATGTCATTAATGGTGAAGCAATTCAAGTCTGATTCAACTGGTTAATCATAATATCTATAATAGACATTCTCATGATGCTATCAAACAGTTCCACGAGCGTGTTTTGGATCCTAATTGTCCCTATTTAAGATTGGCTTCTATGGTTTGTCCCCTTGCATCATCAGGTTAAGAGTCGTCGAGATCGGTCGGGAAGCAGCCACGCGTCTGTCCTTCCTCCATTAAACCACTGGGAAGACGCGAGTAGACGGCCGTCACGGCGCTCCGTTCGCCTGGTGTGGGGTTCACGGGAGCCGTTGGATTAGGACGCTCCTCTTCCCCTTACCGTTCATCAGAAAACCCTGCCCTGCCCTTATCTCTTCCGACGTCCACCAGCGAAGTCGTCTATTAAAGCTGCTCTCTCTCCCCCTCATTTGGCTTCGGATTAGGGTTGGCGCTTACACTTGGGCTCTACGGTCGCCCCCATCGATTGAAGGTTGCATTCCACCTTCGATGGCGACCTCGGCGGCTCAAATCCACGCCCTCGGCTCCGTCCCCTTCTTTCCTTCCTCGAAATCGCCGTCTTCCCGCGTCGCCGCATCCAGTTCCCTCTTCTTCGGCGTCCGCCGACCTGGCAGCGCCAGCGGAGCTCGCCTCAGCGCGAGGAGGCGGAACCAGCGGTCCGGCTATGGGCCGCTCCGGGTGGTGTGCGAGAAGGTGGTGGGGATCGATCTCGGGACCACTAACTCGGCGGTCGCGGCCATGGAGGGCGGGAAGCCGACCATCGTGACCAACGCCGAGGGCCAGCGGACGACGCCGTCGGTGGTTGCCTACACGAAGAACGGTGACCGGCTGGTCGGGCAGATTGCCAAGCGCCAGGCAGTGGTGAATCCGGAGAATACTTTCTTCTCTGTCAAGCGGTTCATCGGGCGGAAGATGTCGGAGGTGGATGAGGAGTCAAAGCAAGTCTCGTATCGGGTGCTGAGGGATGAAAACGGGAATGTCAAACTTGATTGCCCTGCCATCGGGAAGCAGTTTGCTGCTGAAGAGATCTCGGCTCAGGTGATGGATTTTGAGTTCTATCTTGAAGTTTTACCCAACCGTTTAATTCGCTTTATGCCACTATCTTGTAGAACAGTAAATACTTACGAGCTTAATGATCTCAGTAATTTTGACCAGTATGCTTCTTGTTCCATGTTTGGAGTTTGTTGGAGAGACCATATGTTAATGCCTTAGTCTTGGATAATTATTTCTTCTTTCCTTTTATGGAAAATGTCAGCTTCTGATAGATTATAGTTTGGCAGCTTTTCTTCTTGCATGTTCTTTCTCTTTAAGTTCCTACGGCAGAAGCTTGGAACGAATGTACTAACCTGATCAAATAGTGTTTTGAGTTTGGCAAACTCTTTGAAGCATCATGTTTTGTGCTCTTGATGTTGTTTTTTCTTTGCCGTTGTGTTTTGTGCATCTATTTGCTAGTTTCTTTTATGGAATCCACACAATGAACTTGCTCTTTGAAGATAAATGTAGAGTACACTTTATAGTGGTTGCTACTTTCTTTTTGTTTGTGGTTTTCTATTACAATTGGAGATTAATCTAAATGGTGTATGTTTTCCTCATTATGATGTTAAAATCCCAGGCTCAAAATTTTTAATAGTTTACTGTTGATTTACATAATTAAAATTTTTTGTTAGACTGTTATGATATTGAGTTTTGGTTTCTGTCAAATAGTTAGAGATTATGAGTGAACTTTACCATGGTTGCAAGTATTTGAAGTTAATTTAGTGATTTTATAGCCTTCCTGTGTTTTGAGGCTAAGAATGGGGTGCATTCTCTATTTTCTCCATGATTGCTGAATGTCTTTGTTTTTTCAGGTTTTGAGAAAGCTTGTGGATGATGCATCTAAGTTTTTGAATGACAAGGTTACAAAAGCAGTGGTTACAGTTCCTGCATACTTCAATGATTCCCAAAGGACAGCTACAAAGGATGCCGGTCGTATCGCTGGCTTAGAAGTTCTTCGTATCATCAATGAGCCGACAGCTGCATCATTGGCATATGGTTTTGAAAAGAAGAGTAATGAAACTATTCTCGTATTTGATCTGGGAGGTGGCACCTTTGATGTTTCAGGTACTGGGGCTTACTATTCTCCCAAACACCGCTTCCATAACTCTGTGTCATTGTTGCTTCTGCCAAGCATAAATCATTTAGATTTACTCCTTCCAATCTTGAAGTTCATGGGTTAAAGTTATTTCCTTTCTTTATTGAGAAAAGTAGTTCCTTTTAACTTTCTGTAACAGCCTCTATGTCAATATACTGCAGTTCTTGAGGTTGGAGATGGTGTCTTTGAAGTACTCTCAACATCAGGAGACACACATCTTGGTGGTGATGACTTTGACAAGGTTGGTTATGTTAAATATGCGAAACTCTGGTAGTATTTATTTTTTACTTTTTTGTTCTTTTGTATTTTGAATATGAAACCTGGTGCTGTCGTTATCTTATGCTTGATCTGTATTGTGTTAAGCACATGATTGGTGCCCCCTTGTGCAATTGTTCTGCTGATGATGGTAAAATACTAAATTTTTCAGTGTTTGCAGCTATCATGGTTGCATAGATATACCAGTTCCAGTCATTGAATTGAGTAGTGCAAGTTATCTATGTTATATATTGTAGTTTGGTTGTCTTTAGTTGCCAGAATATGGCGAGCTCCACATGACAAACCAAGGGATGGGAATGATCATTTCTATTTACATGAGCTTAGTGAATAGCATAATATTTTTTCTAGAAAGGATAACTATGAGTAACATTTCTCTTATCCAGTGTGGAACAGTAGCATTATATACCATTTAAAACTTAACCTACTGTTGGAGAGGGAACGGATGATGTTATTTTCTTCCTGTTGGTTTCTACTTTCTGGTACAAGTTTTCTGTAGCTTCTAGTCCAGTCTTTTCTTTCCATTGACTGCTTTTCTTTTTCATCTTTTCAGATGAATTTATGAACTTGGGCTTAATGTTCTATCATTTTTTTTGAGCTCATATGAAATGTCAGTCAATTAGTTTCTTTTTATTTTTTAATCTGGCTACAGTCTTAAATACCCCTGCTCTTAAACTTTTAGTATCAAACTGACATTTGAAAGTATCTCCTCTTGTTAACCTAACTCCTGTTCTTTCAGTTCCTTATTCTATCCTTTAACAAAAAACTATAGTATAGTTTATACAGCATCTCTATTAGCATGTTCTGGACAGGGTTGTGCTGGTGTCAGCACTGAATCTTTTATTCTCACATACACTTAAGCAGCTACACACTTGACAAAATTTTGCTGATCTACCTGTTCACTGGAATGCATCCTAAGTTATGCTCACTGAAGATTATATATCGCCACATAAGTTGTGTATACTGAAAATGCATTTATGTGGATGGTATAAATGCATTCATATTATTTTCCATGTTGATCAGAGAATCGTTGACTGGCTTTCTGCTGACTTTAAGAGAGATGAAGGCATTGATCTTCTGAAGGACAAACAAGCCCTTCAGAGACTGACTGAAACAGCAGAAAAGGCTAAGATGGAATTGTCCTCCTTGACCCAAACAAACATCAGGTTAGATTCTGTTGTGCCCATGTTTTCTTTGTCTTCACTATGTTCTTTCTGAATTTGGTTTTCTTGATATTTTTAGTCCTCTCTAATCTAGACTCTCTGTCCGATCTTTTGGCAGTTTACCATTTATCACCGCTACTGCTGATGGTCCTAAGCACATAGAGACAACACTTACAAGGGCCAAGTTTGAGGAACTATGTTCAGACCTTCTTGACAGGTATAGTAAAATTTTATATCATGAATTTTTCTTTCTGCGATGTAGAACAAGTCAGTTTACAGAATCTAAGCCTGCTCAGGCCGCTTTTTGTATAAAACGCAAAAAAAACCATTATGATTTACACTGATGACTGCTTTTCTGGTTGTTTCACTAATTTTGGATCTGATCTGATGTCTATTGGCTGGATAATGTATATGTGTGCTTCATATTTTTTCTGACACTTATTTCATCTTTACTCATGCCGTTGGTGAAACAGGCTTAAAACTCCTGTAGATAATTCCTTAAAAGATGCAAAGCTCTCGTTTAAAGACATTGATGAGGTAATCCTTGTTGGTGGGTCAACTCGTATCCCAGCAGTTCAGGAACTCGTGAAGAAGATGACTGGGAAGGAGCCCAATGTTACTGTCAACCCTGATGAGGTTGTTGCTCTTGGTGCTGCAGTGCAGGTTTGGCTTCCATAAACATTAGCATGGACTCGAGCAATTAGTTAATTTGAAATTTATGTTGTTAGTTCAAAATTTCAATTTATAATAATTGGTGAGCTACCTAAGTGACAAAACTGAGCCAATTTTATGCTAGAATCTTATAAATATATGAACAAGGTTGTGCTCCTACGACGATGAAAAGTTCAGTCACTTTATTTATTCATATTGAAATCCGATGATTACTACTAATTTTTTAAACTCCAATGAACCTCAAAATAGAACATACATATTTTCTAGAACTGATAAGAGTAATTTATCTATACAACACAGCATTATAAGACGGATATATAGAACATCTGTTGCATTACTTGTGATTTTATGGGTCAGGTGATATCTGTATTTCAAGCTACATGCCGCCATAACTCTGGTGCCATGGCATGTGCAGAACTCTCTGATGTTGAAAATTTACACAAAATTCTGATGGCTATGATGGGAGACCCTAGTGTCCTTAACCTCTGTGCATTGATGACTTCATGATAAATATTTTTGATGAAAATCTGTCCTGAGCACTTTATTGCTGTTGGTCATCCGGTTGACCCATACACAAATTTGTGCAAAGATATTGGTCTCTTTCTTCTGCACCAATTTTATTAGCATGCTTATAATTGAATTCACAGTACATCTTCAGGATTTACTATCATGAATGAAGTTCTGTTTTTGTAATCTGTAAATGAACTCAAATTAAGGTGCTTTGAAATCAGATTTCAGTGCTTGTAAAAAGATAAAATAGTCCTTTCTTATTCTTGTCTTTTCTCTTATATTAGTGTTGTTAATTACTTCTGCACTTCAACTTTTCAGGCAGGAGTGTTGGCAGGTGATGTCAGTGATATTGTCCTTCTCGATGTTACACCTCTATCTCTTGGTTTGGAAACACTGGGTGGTGTGATGACAAAGATCATCCCGAGGAACACAACACTGCCAACATCCAAATCAGAAGTCTTCTCGACAGCAGCAGATGGCCAAACAAGTGTCGAGATTAATGTTCTTCAGGGTGAAAGAGAGTTTGTGAGAGACAACAAATCACTTGGCAGTTTCCGTCTTGATGGAATCCCTCCAGCCCCACGTGGGGTACCACAGATTGAAGTCAAGTTTGATATTGATGCCAATGGAATTCTTTCTGTTACCGCGGTGGACAAGGGTACTGGAAAGAAACAAGATATCACTATTACTGGGGCTAGCACCTTGCCCACCGATGAGGTGAGCTCTCCCAGTGTCATATTTAACCACTTCTTCATTCTTCACTCATCGCAGGATTTTGTTGTTGCATATGTAGAATGATCCATAGATGTTTCCATTCCTATCTTTTAAAGGTCAAGTATCGATATGTTGAAGGTCTAGTTTGTCTTCATTACCTTCTACGAGTTGAAGTTTGTGTTGAAAGATCAGCCAAATGTGTTAAGAAAGCATAGATGGTTTGGAAAGATTAAAGCCAACACGCTTGTGATCCTTTGCACTTCTCTGTCGGTTTAGTTTATCCATTTAAACCATAATTATTGTTTCAAACATTAGAATTTGGCTGTCTGCAAATCTACATATGTTCTAACTTCTAACTGATGTTTGCCAACGGTGCTATCCAGGTTGAAAGAATGGTGAAGGAAGCTGAGAAGTTTGCCAAAGAGGATAAGGAGAAGAGGGATGCCATCGACACAAAGAACCAGTCTGAGTCTGTGATTTATCAGACAGAAAAGCAACTGAAGGAGCTCGGAGATAAGGTGCCTGCTGCTGTCAAAGAAAAGGTGGAAGGAAAGCTGAAGGATCTCAAGGACGCTGTTGCTGGTGGATCAACTCAGAGCATGAAGGATGCCATGGCAGCCCTGAACCAGGAGGTGATGCAACTCGGACAATCGCTCTATAACCAGCCAGGCGCAGCTGGTGCTGGTCCTGGTGCTGGTGCTGGTTCTGGTCCTGCTCCTGGAGCTGATGCTGGGTCTTCCGGACCATCTTCCAAGGGGTCTGAGAATGGCGATGTGATTGACGCTGATTTCACCGATAGCAATTGAAAATGCCGACAATCTCGGGAAGTACAGTAAGGCCACTGGGATTCAAATTGTCATACAGTCCATCGAGTAAATAGCTTTAATAAGGTCTTACTATTTTACTTCTTGTCCGATGCTCTCATTGAATCGCTCTCCGGATTCAAGATGTCGAGTTTTGTTCATTTAGAACAACTTGTTTGTGATTTGTTACCAAATCAAGATAGGATTGATGTAGCTGTTTCAGGATATTATTTTTTTCCTACGCGGATTAATTGCCCCTAGTCAGTTGGCGTATCCTTCGTTGTATATTGTCAACATTGTTCCGTGGCATGTCTAGCAAATGCTTATATGCTAGCGATTACTCGTTAGTAAACGCAACTCAGAACAGCATCAGTTCTATTTTTTTTCTTCATTTCTCCTATTATAAAAGGTTCCGAACAGGTAGCAGCTATATGAAACTCCACACAACTCAAAGCAGATGCAAACTTCAAAAGCTTTGCAGAACGTAGACAAACTCCATGGGTAGGGTATTACTGACTGCACCAAATGCTTAAACTAAAGATCATCAAACCGCCGATACCACCAGTGAGGGCTTGGATGCATGATTAGATTGCTGTTCATCTGCTTCCGTGTGCTGTGCCCCGAAGCAGAAGTACTGACTCATCGGTTTGCCGTTGACAAGGCTCCATCTCGGGGTCGCATTCTCCACCGCACTATAATTCATGGAGGAACTGGAACAGGAGGCGCCATCATTCTCGTTCTCCGAACAAATGCCCTTCCGTTTCTCCATCGCAGACGATGCAGCAAACTTCTTCCTCGTGGCTGGACTCGGCACCGCGCTTCTCACGGAAAGAGGTCGCTTGTTGCTTGCCATCATCATCATCATCCATGTCGACTTGGAGAACTGCTGCCGGAGTGGAGTCGGAGCTTCTCCCCGGTCGACCAACTTCTTGAAGGACTCCAACGACTCATCATCTCCCACCACCTTCTTTAAAGTCTCGGCCGTCTCCCCCCTCCTCCGAGGCCACCCGAGTAGAACCCTCAGATGCCTCGCCACATTGCCGATGGAACCGATCTGCTGCCTCTTCCTCCTATCCGAACCGGCACTGAAGTGGCTGACCTCGCTCTTGCTGGCGCTCGAGCACGAGCTCGGCCTCGCACTGGCGTCCGATGCCTGGATGCCCGTGTACAGAAATATCTCCGCATCCGAAACCCTAAACGCGGTGCCTGGGCTCTTCGCAACGCCTTGCATCTTTAGGTGGGAAGCGATGGCCGACCTCGTTCTGTAGTCCTTCGAGTTCGCCATCCCTCCCGCAGAGATCAACTGCTTGATCAGCACCTCCGACGACGCCGATCGAGGGTGCTGTCGGAGCACATCCAGCGGCGTCATGCCATCGCCATCTCGAACGTTGAGGTCGATGGATCGGACCATCATCAGGAGCTCGACCAAATCCGCATGCACATTGCCGAGCACGGCCATATGGAGGGCGGTCCTCCCGTCCTTGTTTCTGACATTGACGATCTCTTGAACGCTCGCAGCGTTTCCATCGATCAGCTTCCTCACCAGCTCCATCTGCCTGTCGAGCCTGCGGAAACCCGGGGTTCTGAAGCCTGCCACTGCCATGTGAAGGAAGGTGTCGCCAGCTTCATTGATCGAACGGGAGGAAGAGGGTGAAGCCGCCATCAGGGCCTCTGCAACAGGTAAGTGTCCTCGAAAGGCTGCTACATGCAATGCTGTGTTCCCTTTCTTGTCTCTGGAGTCGATCATGTCGATAGATGCAAGTAGATACTTGACTACCTGCATTATTATAGTTAGAAAAGTAGCCATTTGATTGAGGTACAATTCATTAGAACACAAAAAGCAAAGATGCTTTGTAGAATTCTAAGGTAGAACATGCCATGTTCAACCCAGTGGACTGCAACATTATCCATTCTGCTTTAGAGTAGAACACAAACATTTTTGCTTGCTTTAGTTCATAATATAATTAGTCAAAGAAAACTTGTTGTCTAAATAAGATAATAGTATTTTAAAGTTCATAAGATGTATTTTTTTTTCTCTAAATAAGTTGCTCAACTTGCAAGATAGAGAAGTAAGATATACAATTGAGTCATCATGATTCTTACAATGTGTAATCACAAAAAATGTTGCATGTATTCCAATTTCTAGCTTCTGCTTACTTTAAGTCACAAGTCTAAGGAGTAGTGTAGCTAACAACTGATTCAAGCAAAACATAGCAATGCCACTTTGAAATGAAATGAAATCTTGGTTAAGTGGAACTATTTAAGACTTGGATGACACAAGAGCTAGAGAGAGAGAGAGAGATTCCATTAGCACCAAATTTGATACCTGACTAGTTTTAGTTGGTCATGTCTAGCCTTGTGGAGACTTCCATGATGCTGTAAAAGGCAGGTGCTCAGCATTGACACTCATTAACCCAAATTGGATGATTGCTGAAGTATGTTTAAAGATTCATGTATGAGGAAAACCAGTTAGAGAAGGCTGTAAGTTCATCTTTAGATATAGAGTCTACAACCTGGCCTAGATTTGTTCTTTCCCTAAAGGTTTCATAAGAGTAGAAATGAAGAATACCCTTTCTTCTAATGATGTTGAAACCTCAAACAGATACAACAATAATTTTCTGCTACATGATCAATATGAGTCTTTATTTGCAGCAATGCTTTACAATTTTCGTGTATCGATACTACTAGGGCTTTGACTAGTACCATATCGGTCCGTATGATAAACCAAAATTCAAAAAAAGAAGAAAAAAAATAAATCAAATGATAAGATGAAGAAATTGTCCTATTATCGGGAGTATCGGACGGTATAAAGGCCTGTATTTGGGAGTATCCCCCTGTTTACCCTTAAATTTTCAGACAAATAAATATCTTCTGTATCATTGTGTATCGGATGGTATCGCAAACCTTAATTTTTGTAGTATGATGGAAACTAGAATGAAGTTGCTGAAACTTGGTGCTTCTGATGCCACACAGACAACATGAGTGCTGAAGAATCACTAGTTCAAACAAAGTTGTAGAGCAAACAATGGAATCAAGATCAAGGCTTCTGTGGAAAGCACAAGCAGTGTCTCACCTCAACCTGTCCTCTACCAGAGGCAGTATGCAAGATGGTGGATCCCTGGATGTCTCTGTAAGCCACCACATCTGAGCAGTCCACCAGAAGCTCCTTCAAGAACTCCAAGCTCCCTCCTCTGGCAGAAGCATGGAGTGCCCTGTTCACCATCTCCCACCTAAAACCAGAGTCTGCTCCTCCACCGCCACCTATGGACCGCCTCGGTGACACCGCAGAGTCGAACAGAAGCCTGAAGACCTCCGAGCTCTTGCTCCTCGCCGCGGCATAGAAGATGTCAGTGACGCCATATTCCCCTTCACCGAAGACTAGCAGTGGTTCTCTGTGGAGCAGCTCCTGCACAAAGCCCATGTCCCCTGCCGAGGCTGCAGTGTAGAGAAGCCATCCACCGTAGCCGGCACGGATCAGCGAGTTCTTCCCGTTCCTCCCCTCACACTCATGGAGCAGGCGGCGAGCGACGGTGGACCGGCATCTGGCGGCGTCCACGAACTGGGCGTCGTCGTCCCACACCGTCTCGAGCCGGCGGATGCGGCGAAGGGAGGTGAGCTTTATGAGGAGATTGGCGTCGAGATGCAGCAGCTGCCGGACGAGGTCGTAGTGGCCATTAGCCGCTGCCCAATCGATCGGGGAGGCGTACCACCACTGGTCTCCGGTGCTCTCCCACCGGAGGGGGAAGTAAGAATCCGGCATTCAGCTGATGCCCGAGGAAGGCGAACCATTTCAAATGCAAAGAGGAGCGGATACTGTGAGAACTCATTCTATGCAGCATCACCAAGCACAGGAAGATCAAATGCATCACATGAAAACTAAGCGAGAAGACAATACCAAGACACTGCAGAATAATATGGCTCATGGTAGTTCAAAGCATTGAAGGCTGGCAGAACAAAGATGTGAGCAAGACAGATTCCAAGAAGCTAAAAGAGTATATACAGCTCAAATAATTGGAGAATAGGAGGAAAGCTGATACAGACTCAAAGAAACAGCAAAAACTATGAACAACTGAGTGTAACAATAGATTGATGGTAAGGAGACAGGTGAGAGGATTAGGAAAGAGAACTTACAGTGGATGATATGACCAAGTCAAAGCCAAGCAGTTGGCGAAATGAAATGGAGAGACATCAGAACTTAAAGGCAACAGAGAGGAGATTGGTGTGAATCGGATGTGGGGAGGTGTGTGTGGTCCTCTCTCCAAGTGCATGAAGAGGTGGTAATTGTGGTTAGGGCTAGGAAGGGTGGTTTGCAGTGAAGAAGGAAAACAGAGGCTGCTCTCTGCCACCCAAAGCAAAAAGTGGGGAAAAGCTTCGAGTGGTATTGTTCTTAACATGACGGGACCTCTCTCTCTCTCTCTCTTTCTCTCTCTCTCTCTCTCCGTCCCTCTTGTGTGTGATATTACATCATATCTACACCACCTCTCAGAAAAGGTCATGGACTGATAGAAGGAAGGAATGGTTGGTCAGCAAAGAAAACGTAGCAGTGACATGTGTGGCTCTTTACAAGTATGAATTCATTGATATCTGGGAGGACTAATCACCAGAAATATGATGCAAGCTCTAAGTTGAATCAAATGCTATCCACACTGTGGCTTTCATGCAAACTTCTGGAACTCACCTTTTTCCCACTGCATCAATCTGACATATATATATATATATATTCCCTCGAAACATTCAGACAGAAAGAATAAAGATATTAGCTAATGCAGTATCATATCATTTTCCACGTCAGAAAATTAGTTTTATGTGAAGGATCATTTGTCAGCGTCTGAGTGAAAAGAAAGAATGTCTTGGCCACTGGTTTTCTACGAACATCTTGGAATGCTGGAAGTGATAATGATAAAGAAAGCAGAGCACACAAACGAAGGATAGGAGATTGAATTCACTACAACCTCTCGAGACAAGTGGAGAAGATGACTAGAGGATGCACACCACACACAGTACAAATCCGCAAAGAGACAAACAAGAAGATAACCCCATGAGATGCTGCTCCGAATGCTCGTGGGGATTCGAGTGGGAGTCCGTGCAACATTTTTGTTTCATCATCTTTGTCAACAAAGAAGAAGCCATCGATTGAGTTCAGATATTGAAGGCAGGAAGCAGGCAGAGTGAGTGGCATTGGGAAATCCGGACTTCCATCTGTTTTGGCTTGCAGTCGCTTTCCTGGGGCCGGACATCCTCTCCATCACCGAGGTCTTCTCTTCATACATCTCAAGAATCTGCCTCTTTTAACTGTGAAAGCTAAAACTGTCTTTGACTTGAGCTGCTCCTCCTCGTGTGTCATTCTGAGCTCTTCTCCTTGTTTGGGTGATTTCAAACGACATGTTCGAGTATGCTTAGATAATAAAGATATGTTTCTGGAGGATCTAAAACAGTTTTATTATACGAATATTCTACTGGAATGGAGTCAAAATTGAAGAAAATTGTTAGATTTAACCAGGGAGGTATAATTCGTATACTTCGAAATGAAGATTCAAATACTTA